GTGTGTGTGTGTGTGTGGGCAGACCACACAGATTAAAAACCAACACAGTGGTTGTTATTGCTGGCGTGGACAGACAGAGAAACACATGAGCTCTGGGAAATGGATGCTAGCAAAGCTGGAAAATAGAGCATCATTTAAAGCAGCACTCCTGTAAGCTTCACCTTCACTTCCATTAAATTTAGAGACTCATTAAACTGAGCAAAAATGTTATCAACACAAAAAGAAACATCCCCAAATGTATTAACTACAATTAGAAATATCATCATTACAGATAAAATGAAAAACTACAAATGCTATAAATCACTCCAAACAAAAACTAAAAGCAAAAATGATCTTTCTAAGTAGAAAGTCCAAACACGGTTGCTAAAGTAAAAAATTTTTTCACCACAAGTCCAACTGAAATTGTTAGAAGTAGACACAAACTTGTTTCCAGTAGAAACATTATCGCTAGAAGCAGAAATGTCCGGCTTAGAAGCATCATCGCTACCAGTGGAAACATTATAATTACAAGTAGAATCATAATTATAACAAGTAGGAACAACACACAAGTAAATACAAAGTAGTTTCGACAGCTACAAGTAGAATCGTTACAGGTAGAAACATAATTTTTGACTAAAAAAAGATTATTGTAGCATGTTAGCATAAGATGTCAACATTTAGCCTGCTGGCAATAATGATTCCATCGTTTCTAATCAATTCTCAGCTACTTTGTCTGTTCCAGCAACCAGAGGAGCTGTTAGAGAGGCAGAGCGAGCTGCTGCTATCAGACCGACCGGGTCCAGTGGAGTTCGGGAGGATTTGGAGGGAGGAGGACCACCTGCTGCTCAGGTACACACTGAACAGGTAGATCTCGGTTCATCTGTCACATTCTCTCACTGTGGGAGTCTCAGAGGCTGTACTGTAACGTCAAGGTCTCAGGTTCAATCCCAGCAAACGTTTCTCCGCCTATCTGCATTTTAACTGTATGAAAAGACTGAAATGTAGATATATTTTATAGAGTTACAGTTTATATATAGTGGCTTCTGAAGGCTGCAGTTTATCTACAGAAAGAACAAAGTGTCAGACTCTAGGAAACATCCTGTTTCATATCTTATTCTAACCAATCAGCTGTAGTTTCCATGCAAATTTAATGCAACTTTTAGATAAATTTGTACAAAATCGTTGAAAGCTAATCTTGCAGTTACCCGTAAATTCCACCGGCACATTCAGTTTCACTTTGTGATTCCTTACAGGATCCAGAAAAAACAGTAAAACACAGGAAACTCAGGAGCGGATCTTTAAACTGATTTCTTTGAGAGTCGGACTGCATGTCTCCAGGCTCAGAGTCCCTCCCACTCTGCCGTCTCACACACACATTTTCATATTCATATGTGTATAAATACAGATCTGTGACAGCAGCAGCTGTTGGGCCTTTTTTCATTCATCTTCAGCAGAGACAACCTGCTGAGGTCCAGAACCTGGACTCTCTCCGCAGGGACACCTGTGTGTCTCTGAGGACTGAAAGAAAAACGCTGTCCATGCAGTGATGCATACTGCAAATGTATGAGGGGCCATACAAGCCATAATTCCTTCTGGCAATCTCAAACGCACATTCTCCTTTCACATGGGTATATTTTCACTCACATATATATATATATATATATATACACACTTTATTTTTTACCCCTAGGCATCTCCGTAAAGACGCACAAGGTACCCGTTAATGTCTGTATAAGATGCAGCAGGCTTTTATCTGACTCTAATGTAACCCTGTGTAAGGTGACAAGTCCACATAGGGAGGCAGCTGGATGTGTGTGGAAGTTAAATGTTTTTAAACATTACGTACATAGTTGAGTCATGTGAGGTCCCACATCATGATATGATCCTGAACCCAGCCAAATTGCGACCAAGGCTAATCACAAACAGAAACTAACTAATTCAAACATCCATGCCAAAAGTAGCTTACAAGGCAGGTTATCCATTTCCACGTACATAGGTTGGGACCAAATATAGAAATTACTGGAAAACATGAACAGTACATTCTGTATGCCTTCATACATGACGCCTTCAATAAACTGATCTTATATTGAATGTGAGTCTAATTCAGTGCACTGTATTATACATCCAGGTGAAACACCAGGTTTTTATGGAGCCCTCCTTGTCCTCCTATGGCTCGACAATGCGCTGTCGGTATCTGACGACCTGGGATGAGAATGTATTGAATATTCAGGTGGTGGTGAGTTTTTTACCATACGTTTTTAAAGCTGTGAGCGGCAGACATTAAAACCCACCCACCTCTGTTGTCAAGGCAAAAATCTCAGAAACAGCTTGGACAAATCAAACTATCTGACTGGAGAGAAACCACAAGAGAAAGAGATTAAACTCCATATTCAACATAAATATTCACTCCTAGAGGATATCAATGGTTTCCTTCTTACCACTTGTGCACCGTGGACTGATGGGAGCAGTTTGTTCAGCAGGGAAACATTAACGTCTGAAAGTTTTAATCTTCCTGGAGGCCTGCAGTAGTTGTGCAGACGTTCACTACAGCAGCCTGCTGAGTTCAAACATCTCCATGAGAACAGACGGGTTCCCTGAGCAGAACCTGGTGGGCACCGAGAACCAGCTCACTAACTGTCTGCTTCTCCTCTAAACAGCAGAATTTCACCAGCAAATACAGAGGAGGAATAGACGAGTTCCTCAACAACACTGGTTCTTTCGTTTAAAGAAGCTTTTAATGACAATATGTTCATGTGTCCTGTCTCCTACCAACAATGCTTTGTTCTGTGTCCTGAACTTTACCGCAGCTGTGTCTTCATCCGGTCTGATCAAGAAAACGCTCAACATTATATTTATAAGTTTAATATTTCCATATATAAACACTAGACTGTGTTCTCTGCCTAGTGTTTATAGTGGTGTACTTGGGCCTGCTGTATACTGTGTGTGGTCTATGAAAATTATAACAGTTGCGATCATTGTTTTGTGTCTAATTCTCAAAAAAATCAAAGGAAAGTTCTTCCAGTAAGAATTAAATCGGTGATTTGGGGACGTTCATGTCACATGTGTCTGCAAGGTGAGTTTGGTGACGTTTTGTGCAGGAAACTACGTTTGGTCAAAAAAAAAAAAAAAGTTGTGATGACAAAATTGCAAATTGAATTCAAAGGGATTGCTTGAATTTACATTACTGTAATTTTTTCACACGTTTTGAACCCTGCGGCTTAAACAATGATGCGGCTAATCTATAGATTTTTACGGGCTAACGGCCTCCAGGGGGCGCTCTAGCAGG